AGCTCCTCTTAGTGCACAAACTCGCCATGCACTGCGCTCAGGAAACAAGTGGTACATACAGTAGGTGGTAGGAGTGACCAGGAACCCAACTTGAGAGAGCAGATGCCAGGAGGAAAAACTCCTTCGTGGCAACTCTAGGTGATCAGGAAGAGATTCACACAGTGGAGGGGACAGAACCCCGGGAAGGAGAAGGGCTCTGTAAGGGCGGCTCGGATTCCCCAGTTTCCAGGATGTCCGGCAAGGGAAAGACCCAAGAAACTTTTTTTTTCTTTCATGAGTATGATGGATTTCTAACAACCTTTATAAAAGTAGACAATTCTGTGGTCTTCACCTGGCAAAGCTGTGCCTTCAGAAATAAGGAAAATGGCAGGTCAGTGGTCTCTTGTTTGGACCCTGCTTACCTGCCCAGCACATTCCATGGAACCAAATCTAGAGCTGCCTTAAGGGATTCATGAGCCCTGGCTGGTGTGGCTCAGTGGATTGAGCACCAACCTGCAAACCAAAGGCTTGCTGGTTCGATCACCAGTCAGGCACATGCCTGGGTTGTGGGCCAGGTCTCCAGTAGGGGGTATGGGAGAGGCATCCCTACACTGATGTTTCTCTTCCTTTCTTTCTCCCCCCTTCCCCTCTCTCTAAAAATAAATGAATTTTTTTTTTAAAAAAAAAGGATTCATGATGTTCTCAGCTGGTCAGCCGAGAACAAACTCAGCCGCTCCCTCCCTCAGAATGCTACAATCATGCATCTTTATTCATTTATTCATTTCACTCATTCATTCATTTTTTTCATGCAACTTTTAACACCAACATAACATACACGCAATAAAGAGTGCTCACTTCACATATATATTTCAATATATTTTGACAAACTTTTACAACCATGCACAATTTACAATAGCCAAGAGTTGGAAGCAACCTAGGTGCCCATCAGTAAATGAATGGATCAAAAAATTGTGGTACATATACACAATGGAATTCTATGCAGCAGAGAGAAAGAAGGAGCTATTACCTTTTGCAACAACATGGATGGAACTGGAAAGCATTATGCTGAGTGAAATAGGCCAGGTGCTGAAAGACAAATACCATATGATCTCACCTTTAACAGGAAGCTAAACAACAAAACAAACAAGCAAGCAGAATAAAAACAAAGACACTGAAATAGAAAACAAGGGGACAGGGACCAGAGGGGAGAGGGAAGGGAATTTAAGGGGGAAAAAGGGGAGGGATTTGGAGGAACAAATAGGAAGGACACAGAGACGAGAACTAAGGGGGGTGGAAATGGGAGGGAGGTGGGGAGCAAGGGGCGGAGGAGGCTGAGATGGGAGAAATAGACAAAAAACTGTACTTGAAAAATAACTAAATAAAATTAAATAAAAAATAAAAACAAACAAAAAAAGAAATTAAAAAAAACACTTTTACAACCATATAACTAGCATGGCAATCAAGATAGAGAATATGTCCCTCTCTCCAGAAAGTTCAGTACTTGTGACAGAGTCAGTAATAGGGTCGGAGATCTTTGCATCCATTACAGTTCATACGAAAGTCATAGGTACCTTCCGGTCACGGTACATAAAGGAAATATCATTCACTCTCATCGCTACTTTGAAATCATGGCAGTTTTCAGACTCACCAGGATATATTTTATTTAATGAATTTCAATGACAAACATATTAATATACCATAAATTTCTTTTAAAATATTTTAGAAGAAAATATTCATCACTCACTGAATAACAGCATTTCACAACACTAACTGGTTTTCCTTGTAATATGATGTATCCCACTTCATGGATTTAAAATGTTATTCTGAGAAGGGACTCTCAGGATTTACCAGGTTGCCAGAGGGGTTCACAGTCCCAACAAAGTTCTAAGCCCCTGGAGGAGGCATGAGGCCCTCAGTTTTGCAGCTGGACTGAAAACCTGAAGCCTTGACCAGTGGGAGCACCTTGTCAGAACACATTTTTCTGAGTTCCACCCACACTGCTGTACCTGCTACTGATCCTCAGTCCAAATCGTTATGTCATTTCCTCTCTCTCTCTCTCTATCCTTTCTTCCAGAGGGGACAGCAACAGTTCAACAGTTTCTAAGCCAGCAGATTCCAACCACAGGTTTCATCATGAAAATGTCTTTCGTCACAGATAATCTCAGACCTAAAAACAAATGATTTATCTGCCACAGTAGTGAATTCACACTCATACACCTTGATGCTGGGCAATCCAATGCTGGGTAATCCAATCCGATGCTGGGTAATCAGTAAATGCCTAATTCCCTTGACATAGTTTTAACTTCCTCAATCCTGTGCACTAGATTGCAAGGCCCAGAAAAACACAATTGCAAACATGAATCTGGTGGTTATTCTGTGCTAAGAACTGTTCTAAATTTCTTATTTATATGAAGTTCACAACATTAATGTATTTTTTTGAAGCAGATACTCATTATACCCATTTCACAGACAGCAAAATCGAGGCAAATGGAGATGAAGAGACTTTCTCAAGGTGACATGGGTAATAACTGGCAGCACCAGGACTCAAACCCAAGCAGTTCCCCAAATCCCTGCTCCAATCCACCTTCACCAGGGGGCGGTGGGCTTAGGACCCTTTGCTGTTGCTGAAATTACTGGAGCAGCCTCTGCTCCATCTCTACTGTATCAATTCTAATAAACACAGAGCTTGGAAAGACTTGGCCTTGTTCTATAACAACAGAACATCTGAACTTCCTGTGTCTGGAGCTTCCCTACTTAACAGCATTGGTGGGAGACAGCAGGTGATAGACCAACAATCAACTCTGATGGTTGTAGACATTTCCTAGTTCTCATCACAGCTCGTGCGGAAGCACCTGGCATTCTGAGTGTGACTCTGACCAGGAGGTGGGGGATTCGGTCTTCTCACCATGTGGGCACTTGTCCACTTAGAATGGACGTCAGGAACTCTGTAGACGGAAAGGAAGCCACTTGATCTCTCTGAACCTTCATCTCTCCATCTGCACCATCAGCTGCAGCAATGACAGATCCTGCATCTGGAGCCAGGGGGAGCCCTAGAGCCCACCCAGCCTCTCCTCTGTGCCTCTGTCCTAGTCTGTGTCTGAGCTTCAAAAAGCTCTGAGCCATCTGTGCCATGGGCAGCTGGACCCTGTGCTCCGTGGCCCTTTGTCTCCTGGGAGCAGGTGAGTCCAACACCTAGTCAGTAATTTCTGTGAGGGGGTGCAGACCCTCTCCAGCACCTCCTTTTTACAGCGGCGCCAGGCTCACCTCCAGACATTGTCCCCAGCCTTTATACACTTACCCCACAGGACCCATGGGTGCTGATATCTACATGCCCCCATTCTGCCTCTCTGGGGCTGGCCCAGACGTGACCCTGGAGTGTAAACAGAACCTGAGGTACAATGCCATGCACTGGTACCGGCAGGACCCAGCACAAAGTGTGAGGCTGATTTATTACTCAACTATGGAAAAAGATGTGCAGAAAGGAGACATAAGTGAAGGCTACAGCATCTCTCGAGAGCAGCAGGGGCTGTTTCCCCTCACTGTGCGCTTGGCCCACACCAACCAGACAGGCCTGTACCTGTGCTCTGGTGCTGCACCACAGTGGGGCGTGGCCACCACCCACCTGCGTGCAAACCACAGGCAGCCTGCAGCCCCACTAAGCCCCTATGTTACCTTTTCAAGTATGTCCCTCTGCTAGGTATCCTTCCTGGAACTCTCTGCATTCTTATGTATCAAAACATAAATTAGAAGTAAAGAAAGATTGACAGCAGAGTCAGAGTGCAGGGGATGAGGTCTGGAAAAAAGAAACAAGTGATTTCAAAGACTCTGGCCATATGTTATTTTCTACATGAGGTTATTTGTTCAAGTGCTCACCGTACTGGTATGCTATCAAGTGCCTGTGTACATATTCAATACTAATATTTTAATGGGGGAGAAAACAGCCTCATTGAACAAACGGGAGGGGTAGTGAGAAGTTCATGGTAAGATACTCATCAAGATGTTGATATTACTTATTTGGAATGGGAAGGGGAGGAGGAAGAAGAAAGTAAGCAAAAACAGGTCACAAATAAACAAGTGCACTATTTGAAATAAAGGATGATTGAGAGAAAAATCAGCATGGAAAAGAGAAGCTATTTAAAACAAACACTAATAAGTAAACAAGGTATAATACACCTGAAATATCAAGAAGGTGAGCTATTCCATAAAGGAGTGGCTAGTTTCCAAATCACACAAGCAATAACAGCAGGGATCTGCATTATATGAAAAGATAATTAGATAATTCATCATCAAAAGCAGTGCCCAGTTCTGAGTTAGAGGCTGATGTTCACATCGGTGATAGAAAACATTTTTCAGAAACTGCTAATAGTATATTTTGTATCTGTTTACCTATCTATCTATCTAGAGAAGGAAAGATCTGGAAAGAATATCACTGGGGTGTTTACAATGATCATCTTTGCCAGTGATGTATGGTGTTTGATTTTATCTTTATTGTCTAAGTTTCTAAAATTTATATCTATTGTTTCTGTTGGTAAATACACACACACACACACACACACACACACACACACACACACACACACATATACAGAGAAAATGTTTTAAATAAAAAGTTTTTAAATGAATAAAATGCCCTGGCTGGTGTAGCTCAGTGGGTTGAGTACAGGCCTGAGAACTAAAGGATGTTGGTTCAATTCCCAGTCAGGGCACATGCCTGGGTTGCAGGCCAGTTCCCAGCAGGGGATGCATGAGAGGCAACCAGACATTGATATTTCTCTCCCTCTCTCCTCCCCTTCCCCTCTAAAGATTAATAAATAAAATATTAAAAATAAATAAATAAAATTTAAAAATAAATGAATAAAGTATAATGAATAAAATATAAACTAGTCATATTTGCTGAGCTGGAATAAAAGCCTTCCTTCTGATACCAGGAGGCGGTTTCGCCCAGCACCACAAGGCAGTGACGTGACAGCTATGAGTCTGCAAAGTGCTCCCGTCACAGGAAGCTTGCAGATGGGCATAAAAAGCCTCCTTCTTTTGCCACTTTAGTGCCACCATGGGCTGCAGGCTGCTCTGCTGTGTAGCCCTTTGTCTCCTGCGAGCAGGTGAGTCTTCACCCCAGAAGAAAAATCCTGTTCTGGGTTGGCCAACCCCCTTGCCAGGGTCCCTCCTGAGCTTCCTGAGCTCATTTTTTCCTCTGTTACAGGCTCCAGTGATGCCCAGGTCATTCAGACTCCAGGACATCTGGTCAAAGGCAAAGGACAGAAAGCAAGGATGGACTGCACCCCCCAAAAAGGACACCCCGTTGTTTACTGGTATCAACAGATCCCGAAAAAAGAGTTTAAGTTTTTGATCTCCTTTCAGAACGAAGATATTCTTAATCAAATCGAGTTGTTCAAAGAGCGATTCTCAGCGAATTGCCCCAAAACCTCACCGTGCAGCCTGGAAATCCAGTCCTCTGAAACGGGCGACTCAGCTCTGTATTTCTGTGCCAGCAGCCAGTCCACAGTGCTGCAATGTCAGCTCCTTGCAGTGCACAAACACAACCTGGGCACAGCTCAGGGAGCAGCTGGCACGTTGGGCTGTAACAGAAGCCAACTGGAGTCAGCTTGAGCCACGGTGGAATTTCACACCAGGCTAATGTGTGCGGAGCAGCAGTCAAGGAATGGTGAACAGACCACTCTGGGAAAAAGCAAAACAAAAATAAAGACAGTTGGGCCAGGGTCTGGAATGGCTGTCCTTCCAGCTCTCATTTCTTTCTCTTATTCTGTCTGCTACCTCTTTTCTTTCCCTGTCATCTGTCTTTTTCCTTCCAGTCTTCCTGACAATGATAAGATGGCCACTAAAAGTCACAAATTCAGCGGTCACCATCCCATCACACTGATCAAGAGCAGCCCAGTTCTTTCCAAACCTGGGTTTAAAATCCCAGGGTCAACAGCAGGCTGGTCATGACCCAGCTGTGCAGAGTACACACCTCTTGTCTCGTATGTGAGCATTTAAAGTCACGTGAATCTGACTTTATTGTGTGTGGAATTTTCTCTTGGATTTTCCACTCAGCTCCACGTGAGGGAAACACTTCATTATTTTTCTGTATGAACATCTAGTTTGTTTCTCCTAAATGACGCACAGTGTCCATTCACCCTCCCCTAGAGACAACACCCAATTGTCCTCCAGTTTCTGGCCAGCATTGAAAATGCTTGTACAGATAAGCTTTATGTACCCAGGATTGCAGGATTACACGCCCAGAATCGGGGTTGCTGAGGCGTTGAGATGCTGTACATGTGCTACTTTTATGAATCCATATTACCACTAGAGGGCTCTTCAGAATTGCTGTGAGACTCAATACCACAGAAAAGTGGGTGAGACACCCTCTGTGTACGGCATTGCCCAGTTTTCTATTGTTGCCAGTTCTAGCCATATAAAAAGGTTCTGATCTTTCTCTTTTGCCCCCACCTTCTCCCAGAACACATCATTGTAAATCTTTACCATCAAGATGCAGATGACAATTTTAAAAAATAGATAAAAATCAAGAATGAGAGAGAGAAAGAAAACAATTATTTTGTATTTCTGCACTACTCACTGGGGACTTTTGAATTCTGACCAGCCCGAGTGGACAGACCTCATTGAATGCCTTGGGCATGCCCTCAGGAAAGGAGCTCCCCCAGAGTTCTGAGTCGGGCACCCCAGAACTGCCCTAATGGGGCCTCCAAGGGAATCCAGATGATCTGCCAAGAAATTAACTGCCTTTTAAGGACAAATATTTTGGCACTCTCTAAATAAAGTCAAGAAAAATAAAAGCCAAACTAGACTTTCAACATCATAGTAGCATCCATAATTCCAATCATATAATGAAAAGGTATTAGACATGGGAAGAAATGGAAAAATATGACCTATAGGTAGGGAAAAATTGACAATAAAATCCATCCCAGAAATAATACAGATGTCAAAAATTTCAAACAAGACTTTTAAGTAGCTATTATAAAAATATGTTCAAGGATTTAGAGGAGAATATGGTTGTAATTTGATCAACTCGTAAAAGCAATTAATCCATAGCAATTAAGAAAAAGGGTAAAAGACATACTAGTGATAAAAATGGATATCTCTATAGGTACAACAGACATTAAAATGATGTCAGAATATCAAAAATAAGTAGTGCCAATAAATGAAATAGAATTACTTGAAAAACACAACCTACCAACTCATTAATGGTAACATTAGAAATGTAAACATTCTCTGCAAAGGAAATTGAATTATTAATCAAAAATACCCCCTCAGAGAAAACTACAAACCCAGATTCCTTTCCTGCTGGATTTTTGTCAAATATTTAAGGAAAAAAAGCCAATTTTACCTAAACATTTCATTAGACCATAAAGATAAGGGAATACTTCCCAGCTCATGATGTGAAGCCAGCAAAATCTTGATGGCAACATCTGACAAAAATATTACAGAGAAATATCCTATGTGATCATAGATGAAAAAACCCTTCCCAATACATGAGCACACCAAATTCAAACATGTGTATACATATATAGTGATAATACATCATAACCAGTAGCTTTATTCCAGGACAAACAATGGGTTCACTTTCAAAAATCAATGTATTTCATCATTTTAGCAGAATGATGAAGAATAATTATTCAACCTTTTCAACAGATGCTGAGAAAACTTTTGACAAAATTCAGTACACATCTAATATCCACACTCTCAGCAAACTGCTAATAGAAAAGCAGTTTGTCAATCTGATGGAGGGGAGCAATGAAAAATGTACAACTGATATCCTATTTAATGGTGAGTATTGAACACTTTCCTCCTATAATTGGGAATAAAGCATGATATTTTCTCTCGCATTACAATGCTTTCTTCAGTATTATATTGGAGGTCTTAACCAGTGTAGTAGGCCAAAAACATGACATAAAAGTCCCAAATATTGTAAAGGAAGAAACAAAATGATCATTATTCTTAGATTACATGCTTGTTTATATGGAAAACCTTAAGGAATCAATGAACCACAAGTAGAAAAAATGAATGAATTTAGCAAGATCACAGGACACAAGGTCAATAGAAGAAAAATCAAGTTTTTTTGGACTAGCTGCAAACAATCAAAATATTAACTTTCGGGAAAAAAATATCATATACAATGGTATCAATAAGAGGAATAAATTTAGCAAGAGATGTTTAACGTGAATCTACAAACCACGCAAAGGAAATAAAAGAAATTAATATGGAAAGATATATCATGTTTATGGGTTGAAAATTTTAATGCATTAAGATAGCAATTTTCTCAACAAATGATGTTGGAACAACTGGATAATCCCGTGGAAAGAACTAAACACTCCTGGTTTGTGATACCTTGAATAAAAATCAGTATAAGATGACTCTTAGGGCTAAGTGTAAAAGCAAAAAGTACAAATCCTGTAAGGGAAAATACAGGGAAACATCTTTGTGAATTGAAGGTGGGTGAACATTTCTTATGACATAGAAAGCCAACCAGTAGTAAAAAGTCACTTCGCATTTGGCACACTTGGTGCCAGAGGGTATTTGTTTCACAGACCAATAATTCACAAATGAGAGGAGGAAGTGGGCCCATAAACCAGGCTGACAGCCACACAAGTCATATTCTCCCCCGTAGTGAGAGATTTTTTTCATGTTTTATTGATTATGCCATTACAGTTGTCCCATTTCTCCCCCTTCATTCCCCTCCACCCTGTACACTCTCTCCTACCCACATTCCCCCCTTTAGTTCATGTCCATGCGTCACAAGTTCTTTAGATTCTATATTTCCCATACTGTTCTTGCCCTCCCCCTGTCTATTTTCTACCTACCATCTATGCTACTTATTCCCTGTACCTCTTCCCCCCTTCTCTCCCTCCCCCTCTCCTGTTGCTAACCCTCCATGTGATCTCCATTTCTGTGGTTCTGTTCCTGTTCTAGTTGTTTGCTTAGTTTGCTTTTGTTTTAGGTATGGTTGTTAATAATTGTGAGTTTGCTGTCATTTTATTATACATGTTTTTATCTTCTTTTTCTTAGATAAGTCCCTTTAACATTTCATAAAATAAGGGCTTGGTGATGATGAACTCTTTTAACTTGACCTTATCTGAGAAGCACTTTATCTGCCCTCCCACTCTAAATGAAGGCTTTGCTGGATAGAGCAATCTTGGATGTAGGTGAGAGCTTTTGACCCACGCACCGAGGGCCCTCCCCGTTCAGTTCCATCACCATCCAGCTTTGTAGTCTCCTCCATCCATTTCTCTGATAATAGTCTTGCTCGCCTGCTCTGGCCTAGATCTGTTCCCAGAGCGAATTCTGCTTCTCCTCTCCTTGCCCTGCATCTACAAACTTCTGTAGGAATCCACTAGACCTGAGTCTTTGTTCTCTCATCCAATGTGACCCCCAAGTGTAGCAATAGTTCAGCTCCCATATCTCTTTTCCACTTAAATCACTGTCTCCAGCAGGGGGCAGCAAAACAGCGTGTTGAGTCTAACAATTGCAAATTAGGGCACTATTTTTCCTGCTAAGGACAAACCCAAAATGATAATATTCATTATAATTATCCTGTGTGTATTAACTGAGACCCTAAATAAGCAAGTTATGGGAATAAGTCCACATTCCTCTTGGCATTACTAATGGCTAACTCTACCCAGAAAGAGATTAAAAGGGAGAGAACATTGATTTATGTCATAAAGAATGTATACAGCAGGTGTAAAACATGCCAGGGTACTCCTAAGTAAAGCCACAGCTATGTGAAATAACAAAAAAAAGGTAGAAAAATAGATGGAGAAGAAACAAGAGAGGCCAGAGTTGGTACTTATCAAAGGTGGGGCAGAAGGGTTATTATATTAATATTCCTAATTTGCATGTATTAGAAACTTTTACAGTCAAAAGGAAAATATAAAAAGAAAACTTTCCTATCATGAGCATTGGTTAATTACATAGACAGGGTTTCACACCATTGTTGTAGCTGTGGTATGTTTTATAGCTGTTGTGTTGAAATATTGAACATTTTCCTTCTAGTATCAGGAACAATGTTATGCTAAAATTAACTCTCTATTCAACTATCTTCAGTTAACTCAAAAATATGAGTGAAGGTGATAAGTATTTCTTGGAAATACATACACAGATTAAGTAAATACCTTTATGCAAGGAGTCGATATTTTTAGTAATAGTCTTCATGCATAAAATGTTGATCAGATAGGCAGCAGCCATTAGAGAACAGTGTGGCAATTGGGAACACAGTTAGCAGTATTGCCTTTCTAAGAAAGAAAGGTAAGGAAAAGATAGGAAGGAAGGAAGGAAGGAAGGAAGGAAGGAAGGAAGGAAGGAAGGAAGGAAGGAAGGAAGGAAGGAAGGAAGGAAGGAAGGAAGGGAAAAAAGGAAGGAAAGGAAAGGAAAGGAAAGGAAAGGAAAGGAAAGGAAAGGAAAGGAAAGGAAAGGAAAGGAAAGGAAAGGAAAGGAAAGGAAAGGAAAGGAAAGGAAAGGAAAGGAAAGACAGATCAGGCCCTGGCTGGTGTTGCTCAGTGGATTGAGCACCTACCTGAGAACCAAAGGGTCACCAGTTCGATTCCCAGTCAGGGCATATGCCTGGGTGGTTGGCCAGGTCCCCAAGAGTGAGTACGTAAGAGACAACCACACACTGATGTTTCTCTCCCTTTCTTTCTCCCTCCATGCCCCTCTCTAAA